GCAACGCAACGCAACGCAACGCAACGCAACGCAACGCAACGCAACGCAACGCAACGCAACGCCCCGTGCAGCTCTCCGCTCCAACCCTGGAGCAGCGGCCAGCCTCCCCGCTCACCTGCAGCGGCTGCATTCCGGCCGCCTCTCGCTGCGCTCCACCGGCAGCTCCCACAGCCCCGCGCAGCCCTCGCGCTCCTCGCGCTCCTCGCGCTCCTCGCCCTCCTCCCCCTCGCACGGGCCGGCGCCACCGCCGCTCTCCCGCTCCATGCCCGCGCGGTGGGAAGTGGCGCCACCTTTTCCCGCCAGGCGGCGCCGCCGAGCAGAGAGAAACGCGAGCGTCTCTCAGCCAATCAGGGCGCGGGGACGACGACGCCCCGCCTCACGGTCCTCCATCGGGATGCGGCGCGATGCGGCCGGCAGGGGGCGCTGCTGGTGCTCGGTTTTTCCCGGTGCGGCGGCGGTCCGGCCATGGCAGGCTCGGGTCTCGTTTGGTCGCTCCCTCCCTTCACCTGCAGCGTGACTGGAAGCAGGGCTTTTAGAACTGGGATGGAAAACAGGTCCTTGCTACCAGTGACAGTCACGCTGGAGGTGGGATCATTATCCATTTACCTTTAAGACAACTTCGTCACTAGGTGCACGGGCAGAGAATTTATTTAGGCTGATTGTTGGAAAGTAACACCATTGTAGTGGGCAGGAGGAAAAGTGCTGATGAGTTTGCCCAGGGTCACCCTCCCTATCTGTGTATTGGAAAGAGTCCCTGTGCAATGCTCCTGGGCCTTCACAGCTTCCCATCGGCGTCCATAGAAGCAAGCCTTGTAGGAATAATCTGGTAAAGCTTAAAAGCTTTAAAATGTTGTAAACACTCCTGGCATAAAATAAATAGATGCATTAAAAGAACTGAGGTAACAAGTGTATGTGCGGTCACTTCATTGACAAGGAAATGGATAAATGTAGCAGGGATTAGTAATGTGCTGAACAGAGCTGCAGCTTTTATCTGTATACATCCTTCTGAGCAGCAGGGTGAGTGGTTTAAGCTGATAGAAAATCAAGGTAGGATTAACTGCAGATGCCTAAAACGCAGGCTTGAAGCTAGGGGGTTCCTGTTGTCAGAACATTGTCAGAACATCTGCACTCCAAATAAAAGCAGAAAAGATTGAAACTCAGACCAACCTTAGCTTTTTTGTGTGTATGTGTGGAACAGAGTGTTTGCTGCATGGATATTCTACCAGAACTTAACAGATAAGTGACTTCTGTAGTTACAGGCCAGCAATCTGCAAATCTGACACCAAATAGTCATTTAAAAGCACAATTCTAGGTCAGAGTCTAAAGCAATGGAACTAGTAACTAGCTTAAGAGAAATGCCTCAATATTGAGGATTGAAAGGTAAATAATTTTCACAGCCTCCTGATGATCAGTTTTGTTTTGCTTTGTTTTTTGCAGGCTAATGTGGAAAGGCGTGTTCACAATACCAAAGCAATGGATACCTACCTTGAGTATTTGCTGTGCATACTTAGATTTGAATTAACACCTCCCCTGTTGTACTGAAGGCCTGAGGAACTCCAAGCTTCTTTTTGAAGCAGTATTTGCAGTCTGTGAATTCATCAGCTTGCTTGAGAGCATGATTGGGAGCTTTTTATCAGCATAAATACTCCTTGATGAACTGCTCCATTTCCTTTTTTGAGATTGTCATCCCATTATGGAAAGTCCATTACATTTTATGGAAAGTGCCATTCCTCTACATGTCCAGTAAGTTCACTTTTATTCTAGGGTGAGGCTTTACTAAGAACAATCTCTATTTCTTGCTGCTACCAGTGGAGCAGTACTCAGAAGCTGAGTCTTCCAGAGAATTTCAATCCAGTGCGTATTTGCTTTGTGAAGAATCTGTGAAAGAATCTGTCAAAACAGCATCAGTTTTCAAACAGCATATTGAGGGCTGGAGCACTTCTTCTGTGATGAAAGATTCAGGAAGTTAGATTATTTAGCTTGGAGAAGAGAAGGCCACACGGAGACCTCACTGCAGTCTTCCAGTGCTTGAAGGGAGCTTACAACTGTAAGGGAGACTGACTTTTTACACAGGCAGATAGTGATAAGACATAGGGAAATGGATTTAAAGTGAAAGACTAGGTTAGATGCATGGAAAAAATTCTTCACTCAGAGGGTGGCGAGTGCTGGCACAACTGCCCAGAGAAGTGTGGATGCCCTAGAGGCATTCAAGGCCAGGCTAGATGAGCTCCTGGGCAGTTTCATCTAGTGGGTGGCAGCTGAGCCCATGGCAGAAGGGGTTGGAACTGCGTGATCTCTGCGGTCCCTTCCAACCCTAGCCATTCTGTGATTCTATGGTATTCAAATGGCAGGTGTGCTTAGCTCCTCAGCAGCTCGAGCAGTTTAATTCATTGAATTTAAGCGCTGCATTTCCACTCTGGCTCAACTCAGTTTCAAGTACCAACACAAGGCACGTGACATTCTTCTGAGTTTATGACCTGCTTTTGCAAAAGCTGCAGCCTCACACAAAATGTGCTTTCATGGCAGCTAACAAACGATGAATTCAGACTTCTTGTTACTCTTTCCTGCCCACCCCCATACTTAGCTATATATTCCTGGGATAGTTCCAAAGCCAGCAGCTGAGCAGGATGAACTTCTGAGCAGGGTCACCAGCAGGAGGTGTGGGGCACAGAAGCAGAGGCAGAGCTGGGAGCCTGGAAGCTCTGACAGTGGAAGCTGCTGTCTCAGCACACCAACAGTGAGGCTGGGGAGTCCAGCAGCACACAGCACTGTGAATCAGACTCATGCTGCAGAACAGCGCATGGAAAAGAAAAAAAAAAAATGCTGGGAAAGAAAACTCATCCCACAGTTAGAAAAATTAAACATTTTTATCTGTTGTGAGATATTTCACAAAAGAAAGCAGCTGCTGGCTGTATGGAAAAATAACATTAACATTAACCTTCTCAGCCGGGAACATTTGTGACAGAAGCCTACATGGACTTAGAGTAGCCAGATTAGGTAGGGAACTTTATGAGTAATGTTGCTAAACACTGTTATGTCTGAAAACAAGTACAGGACAAGTTTGGGAGTTCAGAGCCAGGAATTCAGAACCAGGAAAGTGAGTTCTGAAGAGGAGCTTGTTTCCTGTTTGGCTTAAGCAAGTGCTGACCTGGATTGCCAGTCCACTTGCATCTTGAGGCAGGTTTTTCTGATAAAGAAAGAGTTAGTGGAACAAGCTATCTGGTTAGCACAATGCAATTGCAACCTCCCAGTATGGACTTTGTGATTATTGCTATCAATAGTGCTGTGTTTTCCACGTGCACGGTGATGCTGGGATGCCTTGAGAGCAAAGGCTGACAAGGTTTGTCACAAGGAGGCACTATATTGTTATTGAGTTACAATGTGAAAGCTGGGAGTAAATCACCCTATCTTATCTTTTGCATTGTTTGCCAAAACAGAGAGATTTTCCACAATATTGTTTCCCTCTGAGAATCATAGGATTTGGCAGATAATAATATTCATCCATTCCCTGTGGAGGGAAACCTCCACAGCCTGGAGATACCTTGTAAGAAAAACTTGTTAAGAACTATTTCCACGTGAAGCAACAATTGAAAGTAGTGATTCCATTCCTGCTGTCTCACACTAGGCATGCGTACATCAAGGTAAATAAAAGTAATGCCTCTTTTTTATTTCCATGCAAACTTCAATAGATACAAAGAAGGAGAATAGCACTGTTTGTTTGACAGAGCAAATTCTCAGCTACAAAACACTAGTTTTCAATATAGTCGCCACCATTAGCTATGCATTTTCACCAGCCATGAACAAAAGCCTGCATGTTGCACTTATGAAAATCTGCACCAGCTGTTTCACATTTTTGGTAGGAAAATATTGACCACGCAGTCCATTTTCCATCCGCTCAAACAGGTGGAAATCAGAAGCTGTCAAATCTGGATTACACAGGGTGTGATAGGACAGTGCAGCCACGATAGTGTGCTCCAAGCTCTGCAAACTGGTATGGGGCCTGGCGGTATCATGTTGCAAGGGAAAAGTTGTCTTCTTCACTGGCCTGACTCTAGGAGTTTGAGCCTTCATCTTAGTCAGTTCGTTAAGCAGCAGTCAGAGCTGATGGTTTATGTGGGCTCCAGGAAATCTAGAAGGATTGCCCCTTTCCTATCCCAAAAGAGAGTGCACATCACTTAACCTGCTGAGGGCTGCATCTTGGACTTTTCCTTTGGTGGAGAATTCACACGTTGCCACTCCCTGGACTGCTGCTTTGGCTCAAGCTCATACTGTCTCACTGGTAATAGTGCAGTCCAGGAAACTGTCACCTTCAGCTTCAGATTAGTTCAGTAGGTCCTGGCAAACTTGCATGCAATGTTCTCGAACTCTCTGCATATGTGTTTCTGGGACCCGTCTGGTGTGAATTTTGTGATATTCCAAAATTGCTACCATCAGCTGTAACACACCACTCTCTGCCTCATGGTGCCAACATCCACTGTTCAGTCTCCATGAACGCTCAGAGAGGTAAGTGGAGGTCAGTGGGTACAGTTTTTTCTGTGTGAAGGAATTCAACCCCTTTGCTCCATACACACTTCCATGCCAGACACCATTCTGTCAGACTGCCTCTCTGCTGCCATCTGCCACATTGCAATGGCATGGAATGGAATATTGCTGGGAAGGTTCAACCTTTGCTGCCATACTGCCAACATCTGCCTCTGCCATCATGGGCTAACATCATTACATAGGAAGCATTAATTTCAGGAGGCATACATTTCAATTTGTTGCTTTGGTTTTGATGACAAAATGCCTTTTAGAAATGCTTTAGAATGTTAGAATTAATTTCAACTATATTATAGAAACGTATATATTACAGTATTTTTCTTCCAAGAAGATGGAAAATACTGAGGCAGGACTAATACAAGTACAGAGTATGCTTTTGCTTTGTAAGTATCTTTCGGCTTAGTCTCAGCAGTTTCAGACAGTCACATTTAATGATGGAGAACTTTCAACAAGCATGCACACCTCGAACAATCCATGAAATAATGTTTTGTATGAAAAGTAGTGTTTCTTCTCTAGTACCATCTCAAGTACTGGTGGGTGCAGTCTACGGAGCAGGTGTTGGACAAATGTCATTTGCCAGCTCTGTCCAATCAACCTCCACCAAGCTTAAATGGGCACATGGCTCAGTCTGAGATGTATTTTGCAAACTTGAAAAGCCTTGGCTTATTTCTAGATGGCAAGTAATTGAAGGATAACTGCAAATTGTTGCTGCTGCTGTAGCTGAT